TCTCGGCTCACCACAACCTCTGCCAACTGTGTTTAAGTGATTCTCCTGCCTCAGCCTGAGTAGCTGGGATTAGATGTGTGCACCACGACGTCTGGCTATTTTGTATTTTTGGCAGACAAGGTTTCACCATGTTGGCCAGGCTGGTCTTGAACTCCTGACCTCAGGTGATCAGCCTGCCTTGGCCTCCCAAAGTGCTGGGATTACAGGCATGAGCCACTGCGCCTGGCCGGAAGTATACTTCTGAGATAAAGGAAAAAGAGATGCTATGAGTTAAAGAGTAAGTTAAGTTTAATGACCAGTACTTTCTCAAGGAAGGCAAGACCAGGTGTGGTGGCTCATGCCTGTAATCCCAGCTACTGTGGAGGCTGAGGCAGAAGAACTGCTTGAAACCGGGAGGTGGAGGTTGCAGTGAGCCAAGATGGCGCTACGGCACTTCAGCCTGGGCAGCAGAGCAAGACTCCATCCATCTACACACACACACACACACACACACACACACACACACACACACCCCACATGATTTTCTGTAACTATGCTTGATAACCTAGAAGGAATAGAGTAAAAGATGGTGTGCTTCACCCACCTTGGGAATTGGTAAAGCAGAGACAGAACAATGGGTGGTGGTGGGGAGGGTCAAAGGGATTCAGGATGCTGGTCTGAGGCAATAGAACCAAAACAGACAAACTTGAAACAACGTACTTTATTTCAGTGACAAGTATTTTAATAAAAATTAAGAGGCATGGTTGGGTTCATAAGCAGTTTTCTTTTTTTGAGACACAGTCTCACTCTGTCGCCCAGGCTAGAGTGCAGTGGCGTGATCTTGGCTCACTGCAACCTCTGCCTCCTGGGGTCAACTGCTTCTCCTGCCTCAGCCTCCTGAGTAGCTGGGATTACAGGTACCTGCCAAGTTTTCGTATTTTTAGTAGAGATGGGGTTTCACCATCTTGGCCAAGCTGGTCTCGAACTCCTGACCTAGTGATCTACTCGCCTCGGCCTCCCAAAGTGCTGTAATTACAGGCGTGAGCCACCGTACCTGGCCTATAAGCAGTGGCTTTAAAACCTGATTTCCTCCTTACATATATAAAACAACTAACTTGTCAACTTGTGTTCTACAGGTTTCCTCAAAGTCTCTTACACTATTTTAGTTTCATATAAAACAGTCTTTAAGGTGGGCACAGTGGTTCATGTGTGTAAACCCAGCACTTTGGGAGGCTGAGGTGGGGGATCACCTGAGGTCACAAGCTCGAGACCAGCCTCACCAACATGGAGAAACCCCATCTCCACTAAAAATACAAAATTAGCTGGGTGTGGTGGCACATACCTGTGAGGTACTCAGGAAGCTGAGGCAGGAGAATCACTTGAACCCTGGGAGGTGGAGGTTGTGGTGAGCTAAGGTTGTGCCATTGCACTCCAGCCTGGGCGAAAGAGTGAAATTCCGTCTCAAAAACAAACAGTCTTTAAGTAAGGTAAACACAAATGCAAATCTGTTAACCTTCACAGCTGTTCTTTGGGTTACTGTTTAGTCTAGAATGCTGTTCTTTTTAGCTAATAAGCAATCTTATATTTCATTTTTGTCTGACCTGTTAACAAGTTTATGAGTTAAATTAGTTGGATCAGGCAGTGAATTGCCGTGTAAAAGCCAAATGCCTTGTTCATACACAGATTTGCATTTATCAGACCTTAGTGGGGCTGGAATGGAAGGTCAGCTGAGGGGTAGTATGAAGTAACAGGTTAGTGAGTTTTCAGTGGTTTCTGAAGAGGCTAACACTGTAAAGGAGGATGTAAATATGTTCTGAACCTTAACAGTATCAGGAAGACAATGGTCAAAAGAATGAGCAGTTGTTATAGTATTGCTTCATGAAATTTAGGTGGTTTTTCCATTTTTCCTTATTCTACCCATTGAAGTGGCACATGAAAATGCGTTTTCTTAGATGTCTCTTCTTCCTAAGGCCAGTCCAGTTTCAATCATTTAAAAGACAGTATATGAACTGCTTTAATTTTTTACAACCTGCCTCTTTTAAAATGGTAAAAAATAAGTATAATGTTATCTCTTCATGTCTTTGCCTATGCCAGTGCTGTATATACTGTATACACATTTCGTCTGAGAGACAAACACAGGCAGCCACTGTTTTGCCTCGCCAATGAAAGGACATGATTTGAAGTTAAGTCCAGATACTCTCCTTGTTTAGCTCAGGTACCACTACCAGAAGAGCTAAGCATCACTTACCACCGACATTTGTTTTTTCCTGGTGAGAGCATTTGCAAATCACAATGGCACTTGTGGAACCTCTATGGAGAAAGGCAATCTTCCAAAAAGCAAATCCTCTCCATAGGGTAGAGTATGGAAACCCTGGAGGAGACTGAAATGCAGGACTCAAATCTTAGATCTCTGGGCTAACCTTTTGAAACACCTCTGCATTGTTAACACTTGACTTTACCTGAAACTGAGAAAGAATATTCAATTGTTTACCTTCCATTGTTCACATTCCAAAGGAAGGATATCCTCTGAAAAAGGTCCCAAAGATAAGCAAGCTTCCTCTCTCAACTTCTCATAGAAGTAGTAAAGAACCATTTCTTTTCTTTTTTTGAGATGGAGTCTCACTTTGTCGCCCAGGCTGGAGTGCAGTGGCACTATCTCAGCTCACTGCAATCTCCACCTTTGGGTTCAAGTAATTCTCCTGCCTCAACCTCCCAAGTAGCTAGGATTACAGGCACCTGCCCACCACACTTGGCTATTTTTTTTCTGTATTTTTAGTAGAGACGGGGCTTTGCCATGTTGGCCAGGCTGATACTGAACTCCTGATCTCAAGTGATCCACCCGCACTGGCCTCCCAAAGTGCTGGGATTACAGGTGTTAAGCCACTGTGCCTGGCCTAAGAACCATTTTCTTTTTACTAGTTTTTGTGAATCTCCAAAAATTTCCAGGCAACTAAATCTAGAATAGTGAATCCTAGGCCTTAAAAACTTGTGACCAGACAATTTGGTGGCTTTAATCATTAGTTTACTAAACAAACAGAACTATTTTGTGAGCTAACAAAATTAACACAGGCAGGCACTCTCCTGTAATGAGTGCTAGTCACACTCCAAAAGGTCAGATGTTTTGTGATGAAGTCCCAGTAGTCATGAACAAAGGGATGTCTTCCTAAAATAACAAAATGAGGTTTTTCATGAATGATAGATGTTAGATTACCTTGATCCTTTAAATATTTAAGAAGCACAAAGTAACTATTTTCTTTTTTTCCCCCTTTTTTGAGACAAGAGTTTTGCTCTGTTGTCCAGGCTGGAGTGTAGTGGTGCAATTTTGGCTCAACCTCCAGCTCCTGGGTTCAAGCGATTTTCATGCCTCAAGCCTTCTGAGTAGCCACAGACACCCACCCTATTCCTGGCTAATTTTTTTTGCCATTTTTAGTGGAGATGGGGTTTCATTATGTTGCCAGGCTGGTCTTAAAACTCCTGGCCTCAAGTGATCCGCCTGCTTTGGCCTCCCAAAGTGCTGGGGTTACAGGTATGAGCCACTAAGCCTCATGAATAAATTAATTTTTTTTTCAATTTTTTAAAATTGCATTTTAGGTTTTGGGGTACATGTGAAGAATATGCAAGATTGTTGCATAAGTACACACATGGCAGTGTGATGTGCTGCCTTCCTCCCCATCACCTGTATCTGGCATTTCTCCCCATGCTATCTCTCCCCAACTCCCCACCCCCTATAAACTAATTTCTATTTAATTCCTTTGTTGAGTTGTATTCAAGTAGCTAATTCTTTGGAATGAAACTCACACTATTTGTTTTTCCTAAACTAGAGTTCTAGGTTCTAAGTGTAGTATAGACAGTTTTGTTTTGTCATCACTGAAATAAAATCAAAAAGTGTTTTGCATTTTTCAGTAATATGAACTCTTTAAAGATGTTGTAAGGTACTGATTGATATAGAAACATAAATGATGACCAGAATTGGGTATATTTTCTCCTCCTTAATATGCTACTACATTTTCCAGGAGAAACAGCCGACTTATGAAGATCGCATAGCTGGAAGCAGAAATACTATTGTGCTGGGTCTTATCATGAACCTGTTTTTAAAGACTGGAACTAAATAAACAGCTCTGCTTCATTAGGGGGAGAATCCTGTTTTGTGTAAAACCCTTGGAAGGAGGTATTCCACAGGAGTCCACTCTCCCTTTTTATCTGTCATCTTCAAACCATGCTAGAGAGAGATCTTTTTCGGAAATGTTTGTCAGCATACTTTATCCAAGTCTCTATCTATACCAGATCCCAAATCCTTCCCCCCATACTAGACACTTTTAAAACTAAACCTAATGTGATAAAAACCACACAAAACCCCAAAATAATCCAAACAAACAAAAACTGGTCTGAGGAAATTATAAAATCTTCTTTTAAGGGCCCGTAAGATGCTAGGATAGCCAGAGCTTTGGGTGTTTCAGAAATTTAAGTCGTTACACACATATCCCAGGGTGGTCATCAAGGCCTTTACACATTTAAGCTCTGAAGCTTAATCAAATTTCACATACAGGTGGAAAGCCCATCTCTTCTCCGCAGACTTCCTCCCCGCCATTCCAATCTTAATTCCGACATAATCTACACTTAGACTGACAGCTAGTACAATTTCTAGCTGGAATGTGGGAAGATAAATAAAACAAAACTACCCTAGGTTGGAAATAGGTAGTAAGATGTCCTGAACGTTATAAACAAGAATGGCGTATTTTGCTACGTAAATGTTACCAGTATCTCGTAAATGTTACCAGTATCTCGTAGACAGGATAAACAGATGCACTGATCAGAAAATGTCCATTGCTCTAAACACTAAAAAGAATTTGGTCCATGTGTGTCAGAGAACACAAACACACAGTTACTTTTTCTAACCCAAGTTTCCTTTCTATTTTAGCTGGATCCTATAAGAAAACTTTAAATCATTATGGTTCATTAATGTGGAATTGGACGTGATCTCCGATCTTGGGGCTGCAGGTACTTGACCAAACGACTAAGCTATCTATATCACAGGTTTATTTGAAAGCTTCTGAGTATGAGGGTTCTTGTATCAAATGAGGATTCAAGAGGGGGATGAAAAAACTGTACTTGTCAGTTTAGAAAGTCACAGAGAGATTATCATTCTATAATTAGATGGAGGAAAATGAAGAACCCACTGGAGCAGGAAGAAGCAAGAGTCTTCTATGGTCTGGCATCTGCAAGTAAATGGAGAAAAAAAAAGTTCTCAGTTCCTTTCAATGAAAAAAGCACCAACTACATCTGACAATAGGCCACACAACTATAACCAATTAAATTATCTTGGTCTGCCGGAGGAATCTGCTGTCGTTAATGGCAGAACACCAACTACCTTCTGACCCTTAGCTCTTTAGTACCATTGAGCAAAGAGAAACTTGTTAACGGAATTAAAAACATTCTGTACAGAAATCAATGTACACTCCTGTGTCAAAAGAGTTTCGAAAGTGAGAACAGCAGGCAGTTGACTCATTCAGACAATTGATTAACTCCAATTAACTTATCCTGATCTTTTTCTCACATACTGTATTTACTCATAGTTCAAAAATAGTTGTTGAGCTTTTACAATGTACACTGGGGACAAACATTAGCATGGTATTACCTGTTTCTGAGGTACTTGTCTAGTAAAAAGTGGAGTTGTTGATAAGAACAAATAGGATAAAGCACATTAAGTGCTAAGTGAACAGATCCTTGTCATGTATGTACATTCAAAAACATTTCACCCACACTTAAGTTCCTTAAGGGCAACTTAAGGAACTTAAAGATATAAGGGCATAGTCATATCTTTTCTTTTGTATCCTTCCAAAGAAACTAGAGAATTCTGCAACAACAGGCATTGAAAATAATACTTCATGGCTGAGCGCGGTGGCTCACGCCTGTAATCTTAGCACTTTGGGAGGCCAAGGTGGATCACCTGAGGTCAGGAATTCAAGACCAGCCTGGCCAACGTGGCGAAACACCGTCTCTACTAAAAATACAAAAATTAGCTGGGTGTGGTGGCGCATGCTTGTAATCCCAACTACTTGGGAGGCTGAGGAAGGAGAATCGCTTAAACCTGGAAGGTGGAGGTTATATTGAGCCGAGATGGCGCCACTGCACTCCAGCCTGAGCGATGAGAGTGAGACTCCATCTCAAACAAAACAACAAAAAACCCCCTTCATTTTTATTAAGATGATAAGGTCTGTGGCTGCTTAAGGATTCTTATCTAACCTATTTTTCTGATTCCTCAGGAGTTACACAGAAAAATAAATTTCTTGTGTGTAAGGAGTTGAACTGCAAAAGAGTTCAGTTCTAAAGGTGAAATGGGTCTGGTCTTAAGTTACAGACACAGAAATTTCTCCTAGGTTTTCATCTTAGAGTAGCCATTTTTACTAGACAGCTATTAATATTGTTTGATTGCTAGACACCTTGTATAGCATATCAGAGAGGAACTGAAAATTCACATTTATCCAGGTCTGCTCAATGTATGCTTCTCTTCCAGTGCCCCCTTGTTTTTAGAGACAGGGTCACGATGTTGCTCAGGCTGGTCTTACATTCCTGGGCTCAAGCAATCCTTCTGCCTTGGTCTCCCAAAGTGTTGGGATTACAGGTGTGAGTCACTGTGGCCAGCCCTCCCTGCTTTTGTTTAAGAGACAAGGTCTCACTATGTTGCTGAGGCTAGAGTACAGTGGCTATTCACAGGCACAGTCATGGTGTACTATATCCTTGATCTCCTGGGCTCAAGTGATCCTCCTGTCTCAGCCTCTCAAGTAGCTGGAATGACAGGTACATACCACCATACTCAGTGTATGCTTTTTTGATGCACCCCAGTGCTGGTGTATCCCTTTTCCTTTGGGGACTAAATCCCATTTTCTGGCTTTCAAATATATTTAACAATTTGACGTCAGAATCTACTAGGAAAAATGACTGGTACCTAGATAAGTGTTATTGTCTACAGTTAAGGGATGTTGTTAACTTTCAGCATCTTTTTTCTTCTTCTTACCAGAAGAAACATCAGTCTTACCACAAAATGAAACTAACTCAAAGATCTATCTATTTCACTGTTCAGAGAGAGTGAACAGACTGGAATGCAAGAGGCCAATTATTCATTAATTCAATAAATATTCACTGAGGGCCTACTAACTGCAAAACAGTTGGGATATAATCTCATCCTTAGCCTTTGCAACATTCCCTTTGCCAAAAGCAATGTGGCTGAGCAACCTCAGCCAAGACGACACCTGAAGACTCAAACTGGGCTCTGCCATAGGCACATGAGTGACTTAAAGGAAAGGCTTCATCTGTGAAAAGTGAGAGATTTTGGTCTCTTCATACAGATTTTGTGAGGTTCTGCCAAATCAAATACTCAGGTATTTTGATCAACACTAAAACTGTTAGAAACTCAACACTTTGATTTTTTAAAATTTATTTTATTTTTGAGACGTAGTCTCTCTCTGTGGCCTAGACTGGAGTGCAGTGGCATCATCTCAGCTCACTGCAGCCTCTGCCTCCTGGTTCAAACGAATGTCCTACCTCAGCCACTTGAGTAGCTGGGATTACAGGCATTTGCCACCATGCCCAGCTAATTTTTGTATTTTTAGTAGAGACGGTTTCACCATGTTGGCCAGGCTGGTCTCGAACTCCTGACCTCAAGTGGCCTGCCCACCTCGGCTTCCCAAAGTGCTGAGATTACAGGCATGAGCCACTGCACCCGGTCAGAAACACAAAACTTTTAAGTGCTCATTAAAAAGAGTATGAATTTTTTGATGAGTATTAAACTGTACTGCACAGGGAATGAATTGCAGAGCAATGAAGCACAGCTGTCTGATTAATCTCAGTCCATTAAAAGAGGCGTGATAGATCTAGAATGCAACTTTGATTAAAAAAAAAAAAGAAGGCAATGTGTACTAATGTTAGAGAAAACAACTTGGCATGTTAACAGAATTCTAATTTAACCAGTAGATGCCTATTCATTAGCGTGTAAAGCCATAACAGAGGCTATATACTTAAAAAACACATGCACACACAAAGCTTTAATTTGGTACCATAATCTGAAAGAAAATTGGACCCAAATTGCTTTATGTCCAGTTAAATCTTGCTACCATATGAAGAGATAGTGAAATAAAGCTGAAACACTTACTTGGTGACATAGGTATTCAGTTACTGTGCATTTCCATCTACAAGTAGAAATATTTCAAAATAAATACATCATGCCAATTGAAATTCACTCCATCCCCTATTCTCACTAAACACAAATGACTTATTCCTGGGTATACTGAATTTATAATATAAAAGTAGAAGAATTTAATATTAGTAATCAGATTTCATTCAAGAGCATGAAAAAAGAAAATAGACCTTCAACTATTAAGCTGTTTGGCATATAATTTGGTGACTTCGTTTTCTGGGAAATGGAAGTATCCAGAGAGAAATGTTTTAACGTGAATCCTCTAGCCACTTAAAAATTAGCTCAAGCAGTAGCAAAGACTGAAATAAAGAGAATCTGAATCTGTGGGCAACACTGGAAAAGAAAAGTTTGTATTAAGTAAAAAATGACAGTATCTTGGGTGTTCCCTATGTGGAAATTTCATTATGAGGGTAATATGATACAAGTGTAGTTCCTGTCTACAGCCGTACCACCCTGAATGTGCCCGATCTCATCTGATCTCGGAAGCTAAGCAGGGTTGGGCCTGGTTAGTACTTGGATAGGAGACAAATGTAGTCCTTGTTTACCCGGCATGACCTCTGAAGTCTAGGGAGGACATCTGAATACCATTCTTTATGCTGGTTCCTATGACTTATGACTTTCATTTTCTCTCTATTCTCATTTCGTTTTCGGCCCTCACAGTCCAATTTCTGATCCCAATTCCCTACTGGTATTATGCCTTGAAAAAAATCAGGGATGGCGTCCTCCTAGTCCAAATCATCAGCCTTTTTATTGGCTCCCAATTTTTCTCGTAGTATTTGATGTCAGTGGTCATCCCATCTTGAAAATATTATTTTGGCTTCTGTGATCTTACACATTCCTGTCCATAATTTCTTGCTGATTTCCTAATCTAGTATTTCCTAACCAGGATCAGTAGGGTGAACTGAGTAAAGTGCTTAGGGAATATAATTTAAGGAGACACTCACTTTAAGGGTCATGGAAGTACAAGGTCTTCAGACTGAACACGTCTGAATAATCAAGATCAACTGTATTTAGCACAATAGAAAGAGTAAAAACTATTTTGCCTCCATTTCACTTACTGTTTTTCCATGGCAGAACATAAGGCAGAGATTTGGGAACTCGCATGCCTGAAGCCAGGTTATTCTTATGTTCCATAACTATGTTATTTGCAGGGCTGCAAAAAGATGAATTTAGCTATGTTGGCAGATCAGTATCATTCAAGCAGGCATACGTAAGATAATCAAGATGTGTTTTTTGTAATTTGGGGAAAAACAACAACCTACATTCATCTGAAATGTAAACACATTTCCATCAAAACGTTCCGGCAATTAGAATGATTACCACTTACTTCTCTGGAAAGCTCCCTGTTCTGTACAGGCATTAAGATGGGTCTAACCATTTTCATTTTCTAGAAATTGAGATAAACAGCAATGCCATCTACTGTTCAGCTGTATGACAGGCTCATCAACTCACTCAATAAACATAAGGGATAAAATAAAGTGCTAAGACAACCAAACCGAAAGCAGCAAATCTTCAACTGAGGTAAAATTAAAAGTTGTAGCCAACTGAATTCATTTTAAGTTTTTCTATCCTGGTGCACATAAAATAGTATACACTTAAAATTATTTACTGACCTCAATAGTTAAAAAATAAAAACTTGATAAGCATTCTATTTGGGGAAAAAAGTGAAGTCTAGCCTCTTATTCCTTTATTTCCTAAACCAGAAATAATCTCATTTGGTTTTGAAATTTGATCTTCCAAGGTTGCAGTAATGGTGATAATGCGAAATAGTTTCATTCTTTCTTATTTATTTATTTGCAAGGACTCTTTATGTAACCCAGGCTGGAGTGCAGTGGTACAATCATGGCTCACTGCAACCTCGACCTCTTGGGCTTCAGTGATCCTCTGGTGTCAGCCTTCCAAGTAGCTAGGACTATATATAGGCATCCACCACCATGCCCAGCTTACTTTGTTTTTAAAAATTTTTTTTGTAGAGACAGGATCTCACTGTGTTGCTCATGTTGATTTTGAACTCCTGGCCTCAGCGATCCTCCCACCTTGGCCTCCAGGTATGAGCTACTCTGTGCCTGGCCAGAAATCTTATAGTTTTAGAGCTGGGCATGATGGCTCAGGCCTGTAATCCCAACACTTTGGGAGACCAAGGTGGGTAGGATTAATTGAGGCCAGGATTCTGAGACTAGCCTAGGCAACATAGTGAGAACTTGTCTCTACTATTAATAAAGAATTAGCTAGGTGTGGTGGTGAGTCCCTATAGTCCCAACTATTTGAGTGGCCCATGGGAGGAGGATCGCTTGAGCCCAGAAGGTAGAGCCTGCAGTGAGCCATGATCATGCCATTCCACTCCAGGCTGGTTGACAGATTCCCTGTCTCTCTCTAAAAAAAAATTAGATACAAAATGAGTGAGAAGAAGAGATGCATATTCCTTCCTAACAGGTACTCTGGATTTTCTAATCTCAAATAAAGAATTTTTAGCTGGGTGTGGTGGCTCACACCTGTAATCCCAGCACTTTGGGAGGCTGAGGCAGGCGGCTCATCTGAGGTCGGGAGTTTGCGACCAGTCTTAACAACAAGGAGAAACTCCATTTCTACTAAAAATACAAAAATATCTTGGCATGGTGGCACATGTCTGTAATCCCAGTTACTCGGGTGGCTGAGGCAGGAGAATCGCTTGAACCCAGGAGGCAGAGGTTGCAGTGAGTCAAGATCGTGCCATTGTACTCCAGCCTGGATAACAAGAGTGAAACTCCGTCTCAAAAAAAAAAAAATAAATAAATAAAAATAAAAAAAAAATAAATAAAATAAATAAAAAATAAAAAAAGAATTCTTAAGGAAAATGACCTTTTCCTTAACGCTGGTTACCTAAAGTAAAAATGATCCAAGTGGCACAGTGGGGAAATTTTTTCAAAGCATTAAAATAATGTAAAACTGCTGGGTGCAGTGGCTCACGCCTGTAATCCCAACACGTTGGGAGGCTGAGGCAGGCAGACCACTGGAGGTTGGGAGTTCGAGACCAGCCTCACTGACATGGAGGTACCCCGTCCCTACTAAAAATACAAAAAATTAGCTGGGTGTGGTGGTACATGCCTGTAATCTCAGCTACTTGGGAGGCCGAGGCAGAAGAATCGCTTGAACCTGGGAGGTGGAGGTTGCAGTGAGTTGAGATCAAGTCATTGTACTCCAGCCTGGGCTATAAGAGGAAAACTCTGTCTCAAAAAAAAAAAAAAAAAAAAAGTAAACCTAGCAAAAAACAGAACTAAGACATATGAATGTCTGGGACCACTGTTTCCCTTGCTAAACTATAATGTATTTTTGTATCCCTAATGATTAGCACAAAGCACATGACCTTTTTATGAATCAAGAACTAATGCCATGAACTATGAATCAAGAAAAAAATGACAAAATAATATCTAAACTACCATCAAGACACATCATTAAAGAAAGTGGTCAATTCATGCTCCGGTAGCGTCTCTTGATAACAAGAACACTGTGATGTGTTTTTGGGAAGCACTGCTGGGATGAGACCACTTCATTTCATTTACCTGTTGTTGTCACAGTAGTGAGTTGTGCCCCAGACAAATGGGGTGCTGGTCTGTTCCCACAAATCTGTCAAAGGAAGCAAAACATAGTTTGTAGTACTACTAGCTAAGACACCAGTTCATGTTAGTTGAAATTATAAGATGGGAAATAATATATCTAAGTTTTGGAGAAGCAAGTAAAAATTGATCAAGTACCCTGCCTAAGTGACACAGTAGCGAGAATTTAATTGAAGGATATAAACACAAGCGACATAAATAATAATAAACGTGCCTAGTAACAATCAAACACAGATGGTACAATACAATTTATGGAAAAAAACAGATGCAAAGAAGTGCTTTTTCCAATCAAGAGGGATCGGCTGTTCCACGTGTCTGCACAGCGATACAAACGTGCTCGTTTTGGGGCCCAATAAAAATAATAAGGCATTCTGAACAACATGGTATGTTCATAAAAAAGGAAAATCTCTCTTTTGTCTTAAGCAAATGACTTGAGATTTAGACATTGTGAAGAAAAAGATGTAGAGGCAGCTCACCTTTATCCCAGTCTTCATCGCAAGGAGGGCACTGCCATGTGCTCTCAGCCAGAGTCTCTTGTCTAAGGCTCCTGGTTTGGTTGACTGCATGACAATAACGATTGGACATAAGAAGGGGATATTGCCAAGTTATTGTGTTCAAAGGCACTAGGAGCTTAAAAGTTTGCAGGGTAGCCTGTTGGGTCTTTATTTCTGAAAAATGGATAGCATAAAAGCTAAACAGAGGGATTATCTCTTTGCTAATAGAAGAAAGAAAAGCAGAAACAAAAATGTTTACCGTATTTATGGCAATAAAATATTTATTTTTAGATGAATTATTAGTAAAATGAACCAGACTGTTCAGAAAACAGTCTGACACATACAATCTGACAACCTATTGCTGCTATGATACAAATCTCGAAAGTGGAAAAGTCTTGTTCTTCTGAAACAATAAAAGCCAAAAATCAAGCTGACAATGTAGCATAATACAAATCTGAAGGAGATAACCTCCAGTACTGAAACATTTTAGATAGTGAGTCTTACCAACATCTTGCTCAATACAACTTCTGTCATCACAGCTTGAGATATGATGACTAATTTCAGCTCGAGGAACCTGGTGGCGAGCATTGAAGGGACAAGTAGCCAATTTGCTTGCAACATCAGGATGATTCTGTGGAACCAAAATTAAGGGATCTGTCGGTTCTCTGGATCTCTTAAAGTCAAAGGGGAGTAGCTAAGCCTTGTTCTATAAATGCCTCCTCTAAAATTCCTCAATAAACTCCTGGCTTAACTACAAGCAAACTCGTAGTACAAAACTAAGAGGGAATTATTTATTGTTCATACAGACAATTACTTCAAAATCATCAAAATATAAGTCTTTTTGTTATGACTGTAGAGACTGACAACACAGATACTGGGGTTTAAGTGCTTTATGTAGAGTTAAGACATCTTTCCTCCCTGTTTATTTCTCAGAGTCACGAGATTCAGGCAGCACAGCCTGTAATGAGAGAGCTCTCTGGATGTCTTTGAAAGCTGACATTCTGGATGAATAGTAACACTAAAACACACTCTTAGTCTGCATTGCAGTTGTGCCCCTGCAATTGCAATACAATAGTGCTGGAAAATAGCTGTTGTAAGGGAGCCGCAGAAGAGGCAAACCAACGGTTTTTCAGATTAACACAGTGACGCTTATTTAAAGTAATGATGCCTGAAATGAAGCTCTGAACAATCTGACCTTTATTTCAGCTATTTCGCTAAAGAAAAACCCAAATGATAAGTCTACTTTGCTGACCAAGTTCCTTATTTTAAAACAAAACAAAGGGTTTAGTATCACCCATATCCTATGGCAAATATACTAGCAATTAAGAAATTTATTAGAAAGAAAAAGATAGGTCATAAATGAAACTGGAAAAAGTAAAAATAATATGAAGTAGGGAGAAGGCTGGAAAACATATGGGAGTGAGAAACTTGCAGGCATCTGTGTCATTTTCCTTAGTAATATCAGGCATTCAATACAAAAGTTTTGTGGCCAAGGATTAAGAACATTAGAAGAGGGAAGTTATGATAGTGTCTTTTTCACCACTTGGCTCCACTTGGGAAATGTCTGAGAGCCTAGAGGGGACAACGTTATAGTGGTATCTGCTGTTCCATATTATTCAGTTTAATGTTAAGGGATCCTTGCTCTAGAGATTAAAAGGAGCTGGAGAAATAACAAAGACATATTATATCTCGAGGATTATACAAGAAATACTTTTTAAAGGATGTTAAACCTGAATTATATGCAGTTTAGATTAAATACATCAATTATTTTCCAAGCATAAATTCTGGCAGAATTTTGGCTTCTGTATCAGCATTCTAACAACAGTGTCAAAGTGTCTCAATTAATGCATCATTAAAGTAGTTTATATCGGCTAAATTTATAAAAGAGTGACCAGAAAGAAAATCCTTATTTTTTTAAAAAAAGATGTTCATTGTTAAAACTTGGAGATAAAGTTATTAAAAAAAAATTTTTTTTGAGATGGAGTGTTACTCTGTTGCCTAGGCTGGAGTGCAGTGGCACGTTCTCAGCTCACTGCAACCTCTGCCTCCCAGGTTCAACTAATTCTCTGCCTCAGCCTCCCGAGTAGCTGGGATTACAGGTGCCTGCCATCATGCCTAGCTAATTTTTTTGTATTTTTAGTAGAGATGGGGGTTTCACCATCTTGACTAGGCTGGTCTTGAACTCCTGACCTTGTGATCCTCCCGCCTTGGCCTCCCAAAGTGCTGGGATTACAGGTGTGAGCCACCACGCCCGACCGAGATGCAATTATTTTTAGGAATAATTTTTCTTGGGCTAACTTCTAGCTGTTCAAGCTCTAAAATTTCTAAACAAAATAACGAGAAAAACTGAATTATAGGACCCAATTCATATTAGGCCGATGAATACATCAAATTTACGAGATAGGCGGGATTTCTCATTGTTAGCAAAAATTAGCCTATTTACAAAGGGTGAAAAGACTCTAGAGATACCATTTATAAAGGGTCACTCGTTAGTGAAAAAAAAGCCAAAACGAGAAAAAAATTATCCTAAGGAATGAACAAATGCCTTTCTATAAATGTTGGTATTTAACAGACGTGGATTCCCAAAACAATTCTGGCAATCAATTAAAACATTTATGATACAATCATTTGATGTTTATAAAATACGGCCTTTTAAAAGAACTCAGACGGCGTTAGAGAGCAAATTATAGAGTAACACTCTACCTTTCTGCACTTGATAAGATGATAAGGAAACCTGCAAGCTCTGATTTGATGGTTTTTATCATAGGGGCATTGCAATAGCTTCTCAGGGTCCAGGGAGTCGGCTGAAAGGGAGAAGTATTTCAGTAAGTAAAACAATAACAGGCCCTTATAAAACTACAGCATTCCAGGCACACTGGATTTTTTTCAAGAGAATCTGTGATAATAGAATATGGTCTAAAGAAAACTTGGATTAAAAAAGAGTGACTACACATTTAAAATATTTCTGAATCTTAGTAAGTTCAGCAGAACCAGAAAACTCAGGTGCTAAGTCTGTTTCATATTGAATTGAACATAAATCTTGTATTCATGGTTACTCTTATTATAAAACAAAGTTAAATAAAATATCATCCTCTTTTCTAAAAGCGCGAATTCAAGGTTATTCCTATTCTCTAGCTAGTCTATTCAGAGCCTCCCAACCAGCATGCTGAAGTTGAAATGGATAGCTGGTGTGCTAATACACTGATCTGGGGGCCCACTGCAAGTTCCAGACATCCCCACCCCCCATCTCCATAGGCAAGTTGAGAGTTGTTAATCCCCTTCACCAGCATCTTCATCTATTACTTGTATCCCATGACATGAAAAAAGTTGGTAAGCACTGCTCTGTATCAGTTATATGTTCTATGGAAGCTTGAAAAATATTAGTGGATAGATGATTTCTTTTTCATCTGCCTGCTTTAACTTACTCCTATAAGTAGTTCCTGATCTTGGTTATTCTAGTTACCTCTCAAATGAACTAATACTGTTATCAGACAGGTAGTTTTTACTTTTCATATTTTGGAACACAGGTGAGAACAAAATAGAGAATTATTTAATCTAGTAACTATTACATTTGCCAGCTAAAAAAATAGAACAATCTACAAAAACAGAACCTCCTGAGGTTAAGACAACTGCAGACATATGGAACTGCTGTGTGAAAGAAAGACCCTAACCTATAAAATACTACTTAAAACAACCCTCAGGCTATACAAGATGCCTGGGCTGAGCCCCAAATTTTAACAAGTCTGGTTAAGGAAGGGAAATTAAATGGTTAAGCACATTCTGGTATATTATGAGACAAGAGGCAACCTAATAAATTGCTCTTGCCACCCCTGAAGGCAATGATAAAAGTGAAATAAGATAAACAATTCACATTTGATAAGAAGCTTATAAACCAGGAGATTGCTATGAAAATCAGAAGTCAGTGGGGAATTGAAACAGACAGTTTCACTGGAAGAGTGGTAAACATGGAATAAATTGCTAACCATGATCGTGATGCAAATGAGCCAGAAAGGTGACTTGAAGGACAGAATGAATAGGAAGGAAAAGTCTTAAAGGACAGGCAGGCTTATTATGCCAACCAGGCTCTTCTTGACCAGCAATGTTTTCATATTTTTGAGGCTTCAGGACAAACAGGGAGAGTTTACAGATGAAATTCCTGTTAGTTTCCCTTCATTTAATCCATTCCCATCACTAGCAAATGTTAGGCCATGTCAGCAGGCGACAGACTAGATGGTACTGTATGATTCATATATATTATACTGCCCATATAGTAGCATATGTTCTCATTGTAATGCTTTACTTTTTGGTCTCCAGCAATTTAGGTCAACTTTAACCTGGCTTTCTATATTAAAAAAATTCTTTTTGATTTAAAAATCTTTGTCTCAAAAAAAAAAAAAAAAAAAAAAAAAGAGTCTTGTTCTGTTGCCCAGGCTGGAGTGAAGTGATCTCAGCTCACTGCAACCTTTGTCTCCTGGGTTCGAGTGAGTCTTGTGCCTCAGCCCCTAGAGTAGCTGGGACAAAAATCTTTGTGATAAAAACACATATAAGATTTACCATGTTAATCATTTTTAAGTATACAGTGCATACAGTGTTAAGTATTAATATATTTCCACTGTTGTGCAACTAATTTCCAAAAGTTTTTCATTTTACTAAACTGAACCTCTATACCCATTAAACATTAACTCTCCATTCCCTATGCCCTCCAGCTCCTGGCAGCCACCATTCTACTTTTTGTTTTGGTGAGTTTGACTAGATACATCATATATATTAAATCATAGTCTTTTTTATTGTACTTTAAGTTCTGGGGTACATGTGCAGGACATGCATGTTTGTTACATAGGTATACGCATGCCATGGTGGTTTGCTTAATGCTAAGGTGTTTCTCTTAATGCTATGCCTCTCCAATCCCCCAACCTCCGTCTTTTTCTTTTTGTGACTAGCTTATTTCACTTAGCCTAAGGTCCTCAGGGTTTATCCATGCTCTAGCATGTGACAGTATTTCCTGTATCTTCTATCTTGCAATTTGCTTTCTTTTCTTTTTGCTTAATGTATCTTGGAGTTCCTTCCATATCAGTACATATAAGGAATACTTCATTGCTTCATATGGATGTACCAAATTTTTTAGAATTTTTCTTTTTTCTGGTTCACGTTCTCTCATGAGGTTGCAGGATGTACAAAATTTTAAATTGATTTTCTTATTAATGGACATTTAGGTTGTTTCCAGTTTTTACTATTTGTTTTGACAGAGTTTTGTTCTTGTTGTCTAGGCTGGGGTGCAATGGCACAATCTTGAGGCTCACTGCAACCTCCGCTTCCCAGGTTCAAGCGATTCTCTTGCCTCAGCCTCCCAAGTAGGTAAGATTACAGGTGCCCGTCACCATGCCTGGCTAATTTTTTTGTATTTTTAGTAGAGAATGGCCAGGCTGGTCTTGAACTCCTGACCTCAGGTGATCCACCAGCCTCAGCCTCCCAAAGTGCTAGGATTACAAGCGTGAGCCACCGTGCCCAGCCCAGTTTTTACTATAATATACAGTGCTGCGACTAACAATCTGATTTATTCTTTGTGCATGTATGGGTATTTTTTTTTTTTTTTTTTTAGACAGGGTTTCACTCTATTGCACAGGCTAGAGAGTGTAGTGGTGTGATCCTGGCTCACTGCAACCTCCACTTCCCAGGTTTAAGTGATTCTTGTGCCTTTGCCCCCCAAGTAGCTGGGATTACAGGCATGCCTGGCTAACTTTTTGTATTTTTAGTAGAGACAGGGTTTCGCAATGTTGGTCAGGCTGGTCTTGAACTCCTGGCCTCCTGTGATCTGCCCGCCTCAGCCTCCCAAAGTGCTGGGATTATAGGCATAAGCCACCATGCTTGGCAAATGTATGAATATTTCTCTTGGATAAATACCTAAGAGCACTGCATTGAAATGTCTGTGCATTAAAAATTGTAGTAAATACTAACAAACTGCTCTAAAAATTTTTATCTGGCTTCCTGGGAATATAACATACTTTGGAAAACAAAGTAGGTCTGTTTGACAAGCTTCCTCTAAAAGCACAGACTCAGCTGTTCCTCACATTTGGGTAGGGCCCAGAACCCATGGCGAGAAATGGAGGAAACTTCATGGAAATAAGGAACTAGGCCTGACAAAAGGATCATCAGCTAAGAGGTAGAGGTAGAGCCCAAAGAGAGAAGACAGAGATCTTGAGGAATCTACAAGATTAACTTGGACAGCCAGGTCAATTTGGGAAAAAGGTCAAATATATTCTTAAGGCAGTGTTTCTCAAAGTTTAGCTTACTCTCCAGGTGTTACATCACTTGGGGACTGTGTTAAAGTGCAGATTCTGATTCAGAAGGGCTGGGATAAGGCCTCAGATTGTTCATTTCCAACACACTCCCAGGGATATGTAAGGAAAAATACTTGGCTGAAAAAAGTAACAAAGAACTGAGAGACAGAAAAGGGGAGATGTTTTCTAATGCAATAGTAGTATGCTTCCAAGGATAAGCATATGTATATACACACACACACACCCCGCCCCCCTCACATAAAGGGACCTCACATTCTTATTTTTCCTTTCGAGACAAAGTCCTGCTCTGTTGCCAGGCAATGGTGCAATCTCAGCTCACTGAGTGCAGTGATCTCAGCTCACTGCAACCTTTGCCTCCTGGGTTCAAGCGGTTCTCCTGACTCAGCCTCCTGAGTAGCTAGGATTACAGGTGTGCGCCACCATGCCCAGCTAATTTTTGTATTTTTAATAGAGAGATGGGGTTTTACCATGTTGGCCACTGACGGTCTTGACCTTGTAATCTGCCCGCTTTGGCCTCCCAAAGTGCTTGGATTACAGGAGTGAGCCACCATGTCCAGCCTTCTTTTTTTCTTATTAAAAGACAGGGTTGACCAGGCACAGTGGCTCATTCCTGTAATCCCAGCACGTTAGGAGGCCGAAGTGGGTGGATCACCTGGGGCCAGGAGTTCAAGACCGGCCTGGCCAACATGGCGAAACCCCATCTCTACTAAAAATGTAAAAATTAGCTGGCAGCCTGACCAACATGGTGAAACCCCGTCTCTACTAAAAATACAAAATTAGCCAGGTGTGGTGGCACATGCCTGTAATCCCAGCTACTAGTGAGGCTGAGGCAGGAGACTCACTTGAACCCGTGAGGCAGAGGTTGCAGTGAGCTGAGATTGCGCCATTGTACTCCAGCCTGGGAAACAAGAGTGAAACTCCGTCTCAAAAAAATAAAAAAATAAATTAGTTGGGCGTTGTGGCATGTGCCTACAGTCCCAGCTACTTGGGAGGCTGAGGCAGAAGAATCACTTAAACTTGGAAGGAAGCAGTTGTAGTGAACTGAGATCATCATTGCACTCTAGCCTGTGTGATGTGAGCCTCCTTCTCAAAAAAAAAAAAAAGACAGGGTCTTGCTCTGTTACCCAGCCTGGAGTGCAGTGGTATGATCATAGCTCACTGTAACTTCTAACTCCTGGGCTCAAGTGATCCTCATGCCTCAGCTGCCTGAGCAGCTGGGATTACAGGCATGAGCCTCATTGCACCTGGCTCAGGAATTTCGTATCTTAAGTAAAAATACTTTAAGAAGGCTGGGTGTAGTGGCCCACACCTGTAATCCCAACACTTCGGGAGGCCGAGGTGGGTGGATCACAATGTCAGGAGTTCAAGACCAGCCTGCCCAATATGGTGAACGCTGTCTCTACTTAAAAAAAAAAAAAAAAAAAAAAAAAAAGCTGGGTGTGGTGGCATGCACCTGTAGTCCTAGCTACTCGGGAAGCTGGGGCAGAAGAATCATTTGAACCCAGGAGGCGGAGTTTGCAGTGAGCCAAGATTGCACCACTGCACTCCAGCCTGGGTGACAGAGTGAGACTCCGTCTCGAAACAAAACAAAACAACCAAAACCTTAAGAAAAATTAAAGGGCAGGGGATCCCTATAAGAGATCAATGATTCTCAAAGTGTGGTCCTCAGATCAACATCAGCTGGTAACTTGTTAGAAATACAAATTCACAGATACCAGACCTTTTGAATCAGAAATTCTGGGGGTGGGACCCAGCAATCTGTTTCAACAAGCTTTCCAGGTGATTCTGCTGCATACTGAAGTTTGAGAATGATTGTGTTCTAGATATTTAATAAAGATTATTTCTATGTAGTTTCCGTATTTTGGAGATACAGCTCTCCACTGGACTCTTCCTAGAGGGCAGGATGGGACTGAAATATCCTTTAGTTGGAATTTTTAATTATAATGAGAATCTGAACAAGACAGCAAAGTAGGAAGAAAAAGTAGATACTGTTGAAAAGTTGTATCCATAGGCATACACTCAATATTCCTCAAATTTAGTCAGAGGCTAAAAATCATAGGTCTGTGGTATCATGTAGGGTACCAGGTATAAACAAGATAGAGGACTCTGGTTTTGATTCTGTCCCTAACTATGTAAACTTGGGCAAAATTAATCAATCTAGGTTCTATTTTCTCTGTTGTAATACATGATTTTTCAAGTCCCTTTTGTATAATTCAGGTGCTGGCTCTCCTTTGATTTCCTGGGCCATCTAAGGTTCCTGGATTACTTGAGAGTAAGAATCCTTCCCAGATTTCTTATCCTAAAAACCCAATGTACATCACCGCTATTATTTAAGTATACTATATTACTCCTCACAGTAGAAAGTTAGAGGTTACTATCCCTGTGTCATACATACAAGGAAAAGTTGAAGTCCTGCCTCATTTAATATAGTTTAACAAAGGTGTCCTAACTGTGGCCTTTTCAAACCGTTATGACTTCTCATACCTTTTTTCTTAATTTTCAAGCATCTTATTTCAAATTTGGGCAATACCATACAGACTTTTCCTCCTCAGCAGTTGGGGAGAAGTCCGACTTTTTCCCAGTACACTAAAAGTCCTGTAAGATATAAAACTATATGCAAATGATTTAACTTATTTTCTAAAAACAACAAGGAGTACATACTGTAAGTTTCTTCCATGTTGGAACTGAAGGAGCTGAATCCAAGTGCTGGAAAAAACAAAAGTGTAGTTCAGGGAATCAGAAATAAAAATGTAATAAAAGGTAACCCTAACAAGTGGAGTCACTTCTGGAACAGAAACTACCCAAGTTTAATGTAAGAAACCCTTACTCTCCCCACTCCCTCCATTATTTTCTTTTCTTTAAAGCATTCTTCTTGGAATCGTTTTAACATCATGGCCTAACTCACATTCTTGGAAAAAATTCTAGGGCCTACCAAATAGTTAAGGAAAACCAAGTATGACTCTTATAGTTCAAATTTAAGCTGTATTTGGGTGACAAATGTCTACCTTAAGTGCTATGACTTAAGTGCCTGTCACTGTTTAGTATCTGTTAGGGCTTGATACTATTAATATTATTGATTATAATGTAAATATTAATATTTCACATTAGAGGGGGCAAGTCAAGATCACGAAAACACTGTTATTTAAACTTATGCATAAGGACTGGGAGTGGTCACTCTCACGCCTGTAATCCCAGGACTTTGGGAGGCTGAGGCTGGAGGATCACTTGAAGCCAGGAGTTTGAGACTAACCTGGGAACAAAGCCAGTGTCTCTACAAACAAAAAACAAACTTAGCCATGCCAGGACTACGTGCCTGTAGTCCCAGCTACTTAGGAGGCAAAGGCAGGAAGATCACTTGAGCCTAGGAGTTTTGAGGTTCACGCCATTGCACTCTGGCCTGGACAACAGAGTGAGATCCTGTCTTTAAAAAAACAAAACAAAAAAAACCCCTTATATGTAAACACAGAAATAGTGTTTTATTATAAAGCTTTCCTTTCGGGTTCTTAAAAATACAGATAGGCAGGTTACCAGTCTTGCTCCTCTCTAGGACGTGGAAATGCTAGAAGCCTTTGACAGACAGACACACTTAACCTTTCCAATATGCTCAGAAACATGAGTTGACTATTTTCATGACTTTTCTTAAACATGACCAGGAAGGGCCACACTGACATTGTCCCTCTTTCTAGTGATGCTTCACCTCCTCTCCCCCAAGTTTTCAGTGCTAAAGTGGCAGTACTTTTAAGCTTCTCCAATTAATACTTGTTCCCTCTATGCACTGAGGGAAAACTTCTCAATATTAAGACTTAAGAACTGTCCATATTATGTATAACAGTCACAAGAGAACAAATGTGTAACAGGAATGTGAAAGATTAAAAGAGAAATGGTTTCATAGTTTGAATCCTCTTCTATTAGAAATCTCTTCTACTGAGCACTGAGACTAAATAAATTCATTATTGTGGGAAAAACCTAACGTATATAAAACCGTCCCCATAGGAGACTTCTGGAAAGGGTCTTACTGTCTCTAGAGCACGCTCTCCTGTGGCCCCTCATACAATTCTACACTCCTCACCCCCCCGCCCCATTCTATGACATAAGCAGTGGTAGAACCTATAATAGGAAATACAAGTTATCAGCCAGAACTCTACTTTTTTTGCTGCGGAGCCCATTTGTTAATGACAATCATTAGTGAATTTGTCTTAAAAATATTTTTCATGTTGATGTTTTGGATCAAGAAATCCCCACCGTCTTTTTGTTTCACTTATAGGTAGTTGCTTCATACTTTTTCATTAAAAATAAGAGTTTGGAAGTCTGTTTCTTGATTTTAAGTGATGAGTACCAGATTCAGCCGCTTGTAGGAAGCCAACCTGTTCTTCCCAGACAGAAGGACGGACTACAGGACACCAGGGGAACCGGAATTCACAGTTTCATCCACGTCCGTTTCAAGTATCTTCCGCGTCAAACTGTTAACAGGGGATTTTTTACCTTTCCCCAGATCACGCTGAAACGGGCAAACTACGAGGAAGCCATCAGGTGTAGGGGATGGATACAGCCGGCGGCTACTGGTTCAACGCTTAACACAATGCCGGGCCTTAGTAAAAGCATCATTTTTCTTCCGGGCCTTGGTAAAAGAATCATTTTTCTGGCTTTAAACACCACCGCCACCACCACCACTCACAGCAGATGTAATCAATGAGACTAAATAAGAGGAGGCGGGGTAGGTGGTTAACTTAAAAAGAATGTAGAAAAGGCGCCAAGGAGGCCCTCGGGCGGACGACGCCGTGGAACCGGCTGGAAGCCAACACAGCCGCGTTCAAGAGTCCGCAAGGCTGAGGCCCACCGGCAGAAAACTGAAAACGGGATAGTAGAAGGTGAAGGTATCTGGGTACGCAAAAGAGAAATCGTTCAGGGGTGTCCTGCGACGCCTGGCCTTACCTTGGTCCACACAGGCTGTGCGAGTTCGTTCCTCGCGCGCCTCCGCAACGGCCACTTCCGGCGTCTAACGTTGGGCGGTGGGGCGCGGGCCCATACTTCCGGTCACCGGCGGTCTCTGCTCTGGCGTGGTGGGGGGCTGGGGTTTCGGCTGTGGAGCTGAGCTGTGGCCCCCTAGGGTCAGCTCTGGCGGCCCTTCCCCGTGACTATCTCCTCCCCGGACTCCCCCTCCTTGGCCCGTCCTACCCTGGCCCCCAGAACAACAGTGGCTTTCAGTGGGTGGAATTCGCCTTTCTTTCCCCGGCGTTTGTGACAGCCATCTTAGAAAATGGACACCTAAGATCACCTGAGGTTCGGAGTTTGAGACCAACCTGGCCAACATGATGAAACTTCATCTCTGCTAAAAATACTGAAATGAGCCGGGCGTGGTGGACAGTCACCTGCAATCCCAGCTGCTCGGGAGGCTGAGGCAGGAGAAGCGCTTGAACCCTGGAGGTGGAGGTTGTGGTGACCCGAGATGGAGCCACTGCCCTCCAGCCTGGGCGACAGAGTGAGACTCCGTCTCAAAACAAACAGACAAGAAATAGGCACCTGAGGGAATGGGACTGGTAAGAGGTGGGGAGCTGCCTAAAAAGAAGCCTTGTTTGTCAAAGCTGTCTAGGTAGAAAAGTAATTTAGATTTTGAGGGACGAGAAGAGGAATTATGAAGGAGACAGGCAGTACCGCCACAAAACAATCACCAAGGACAGGAATTTTGTGTCTGGCTGTTCTTGTTTGGCATGTGTTATAAAATCCCCAAATTCAAAAGCCAGTAACTATCTGAGAATGCTTGGTAGGATGATGGTTGTCCCAGTCTGATTAAATCGAGTTTTAAAGTGGGGGAGAGAGCTTAACGAAGAGTTGGAGAGGACAAGAGGCCCGGAAGGTTGCAACTTGATAATGGAAAACCAAACGTAGTGGGTGGCTTTGTTCTGGGGAAAAAAAAGTATAAGCTGCAGTTCTTGTCGCCAAAGTGCTTAGAAAAACAAGTCCCAAAGTGGATGAAAGGTTTAATGGCAGTACAAAAAAATGCAAAAAAAAAAAAAAAAAGTGGTAGAGACTGTAATTCCTCTAAGGAAAAAATTAATGGAGCCTGAAATGACCTGGAAAGGCACTATAGAGAAAAGGGACTTGTGGCCTTTGAAGGTTAGGCAAAAAAAGGAAGGTGTTGACACTACAGGTAGATCTGGTGGTAATATTTTTCGAAACCAAGAAGTAAAAGATGTGACAAAACATTCTGTGCTGTCCAAGATGTAGGAGGTTGTTGGGGAGATTAGTCTGGGTGCTGAAATACAGGGACTTCTACAGCATTTCAGTGGTATAGAGCCCCAATATGACTTGAGAGGACTATCCTGACAAAAACTGAATGTAGCTTTAGTAAAAAGGATGAGTGGGGCATTTTCTTTCTTTCTTTCTTTTTTTTTTTTTTGAGACAGAGTCTCACTCTGTTGCCCATGCTGGAGTGTAATGGCACGATCTCTGCTCACAACAAGCTCTGTCTCCTGGGTTCAAGTGATTCTCCTGCCTCAGGCTCCCGAGAAGCTGGAACTACAGTCAGGCACTACCATGCCTGACCATTTTTTTGGTGTGTGTGTATTTTTACAGGGTTTCACCATGTTGGCCAGGCTGGTCTCGAACTCCTGACCTCAGGTAATCTGCCTGCCTTGGCCTCCCAGAGTGCTGGGATTACAGGCGTGATCCACCACACCGGGCAAGGGATATTTTCATTTTATATCATTAATTTGTGGACGTCTATGGTTACTCCCTCTGTCCTCGTCCCTTCTTTTCCAACTAGAAGAGTTTGCTTCAAGCCATTAGTTCGGATTAAGACACTAAAAAGAACCAAGTGTTGATGGAAGCCAGGCTCAAGCCATTCTTGTAGGCTAGTGGTTCTTAATCTTGTCTGAACCTTAGAATCATCTGGGGAGCTTTTAAGATACACCATGCTAACCTCCCATCCCAGATCAATTAATGTGAAAGAACCTGGCATAGTCATTTTTAAAACCTATCCAGGTGATTTTAATGTGTAGCTAGGGCTGAGAACAACAGACCTAGACACTGTTTTGAATTTATAAAAGCTATTCTTTCACTGGATGGCCTGGGCGATTCATATGGAGGAGAAGCAAACTGTTAGAGTGCTTTGTGAAAGAATTGCAATGAAGGAAAGCTTTATTGTGAACTTAGCACTAAACATTTTTAGAAAAAGTTGCTTTGGAAAATCAGTTTTAGATTGTTAGGAAATATTTTAAAATGATTTTCATGAAATCCTAAACCTCTGAACTTCTCACAATATCATTAATGCAGATTGGTGGGTCCAGTGTGATTTGAACTGAAAGATGTTTTCAGGCTTTAAATTGCAGTAATCTGGTGAAATTGTTGACGCTGCTACTGTGACCCGTAACTACTTTTTATTCAGATGCCTGCAGATTGAAACTTCTGAGGAAGAAAGAGCTAAGGGCTTAGGAGGATAGGGGAATGGGTACCAAACCAGAATCCAAAGTCAGGCTTCACTGCGTTCATAGTAATGCCTTGTCAGGATGACAGGACCCCAACTGATAATGCTGTTTCATTTAGCACCTGTGAATAAGCCCAACTTTCAAACAAGCAAAAATCAAACCTTTCAATGGTGATTTTGAAACAAAAATGCACATCTATTCTTTCTGTTCTTAAGTGCTTTGTTCATTCGTTTCCAACCCATAAATTTTCTGCTTTGTCTGAGGTCCCTGCTGCACTTTCTTTCAGACTGGTTTTCCAGCCAGGTTGATTGTATTTGAAAAGGAAAAAACAGTATGACGGGCATTTTATACAAGAGCCATTCTACAAGCTGGTGGGAATTAATACCCTAAACTGAATCTGATCCATGATGGTTCTATCTGTGCGTATATTAGCATTTACCTCTAAATGGTGTGTGTATGTATGTGTGTATGTGTATATATATATATATATATGTGTGTGTGTGTGTGTGTGTGTGTGTATATATACATTTTTTGGTAGAGATGGGGGCAGGCTCATTATATTTTTCAGGCTGGTATCGAACTGCTGGCCTCAAGTGATTCTCCCACCTCAGCCTCCAGAGTTGCCAAGATTACAGGTATGAGCTACCACTCCCGGCCTCCTATATATATAATATATATAAAATATATATATATATATATTTTTTGCAAAACCACAGCTCTATTGAGATAAAATTCACATACCATACAATTTACTTTATTTAAAGTGTATAATTCACTGCGGTATGTGGCTCAAGCCCATAATCCCAGCACTCTGGGAGGCTAGTTGTTTCTTAGAATTAAAAACAGTTGACTGG